GCCTGGGCTGCCTCCACCGGCTGCAGGGCTCCTGGTTCTACATCCACGGCGCCTTCTACCACCTGGCCAAGAGGCTCACCGGAGTCACCTACGTGAGTGCGGGCGCCGCCGCCCTGACCCGGGCGCCTGCGGGGGGCTGGCTCTTCAAGGCCTCTGGGCGAGCTGTCCTGGGGCTGGGCCCAAACCCTCCACTGGGTTTTGTTGGTTCGCATTTTACTAAAGAAAATAGAAAACAAGGAAGTTTAGTTTCCACAAACCCCGAGGGTGCGGCAAGTCTGCCTCGGGCCACACCCGGTGCAGGCCCTGCGCCTGCTCCTTCCTCAGAGCACAGGTCTGTGGCCACACCTCCCAGGCTGCCTGACGGTGGGTCACCTGTAGGTGTCTCCTGACGTACATGAGCCCCAATGCTGACAGCACCCGCTAGTCTTCCCTAGTCTTTGCCGCCTGCTCTGCTGGAGGACACTTCACACCCTCCTGTCCCAGTTCCCTGCCCCAGTCACCTAGGAGCCGCCCTGGGACCTGCCTGCCCACCAGCGGGTCCCCGGCCAGAGGGTCCTGGCTGCTCCCAGCATTGTGCTCCCTGTGAGGAAGCCCACCCTCCCCCTGCCCTCTCACCTCCCTCAGCAGCATGGTCCCGGGCGCGGTGCCTCCCCCGGGTCAGTCTCGTCCCCACGGCTCCGCTGTGTGCTGCCGAGCTGCCGTCACCAAGGAGCCTGGAAACTCGAGGCTCGCCCAGAGGGCGTTTCCCTCTGCGGGGCCCGGGCTGCCGCGGGCTCTTCTCTGCCAGGCACCGGGCCCGGCCCGTCTGCTGACGTGGCTGCCTCCACTCCCCGCCAAGGGAAGGAGGTGGGCAGTGGACATGGCCAGAAGCTGCCCCGTCACTGGCTGCAGGAGGGGCCAGCTGGCACAGTCACGCCAGTGGCACGGTGGTGAGCAGCTGCCACGGGAGCTGCCCTGCCCCACTGGGTGCTCTTCCTCGGGCTTCTTTGCTGGTTCCTTTCTTCTCGGCGTTGGGGTCCCTGGATGTCCCCCCACCCCCAGGTGTGCAGCCAGAGTGGTCAGCTCACTTCTCGCTCCTCTGCTGGGACGAGACCCTGAGCTGTCCAGCAGCGTCCCTGACTGCCCCCCACCTGTGCTCAGCCCTGGGAGGTGCCCCTGCCCTCCTCACTCACCTAAGCCCATGCCATTCTCCGTCCCCCTGTGCACCGAGGGGGCAGGGCTGGGCCTCATTTGACAGGACACTCGAGTGCAGGCAGGGCTGGCCTCCAGGCGGTCCAGTCTGTGCCGGTCGTGACTGTTCCCCCGGCGTCCTTGACAGCTCCGCCTCCACCGCCCACCTGCAGAGGACCTGAGGGCCCGGGCGAGCTACCGGCTGCTGGGCCTGGTCTCCCTGCTGCACCTGGCGCTGTCCCTGGGCCTGCAGCTCTACGGCTTCCGGCAGAGGCAGCGCGCCCAGCGGGAGTGGAAGCTGCACCGCAGGCTGTCTCACCGCAGGTGAGCGGGCGGCACCAGGGCTCGGGGCGGCTCAGCCAGGACTTGGAGGCTCAGTCCTCCCCCTGCACCCCCACCCCCCGCAGGAGCCTCACGGAGGAGAGAGCGGTGTCCCGGACCTCGCTGTGCACCCTGTGCCTGGAGGAGCGCAGGCACTCGACGGCCACGCCCTGCGGCCACCTGTTCTGCTGGGAGTGCATCACCCAGTGGTGCGACACCAAGGTCAGCAGCCCTCGGAGCACAGGTCCCGGGGGACCGCCAGGCGGCCGTCCTGAAACGGGGGAGGGCGGGTGTCTTTAAACCCCCAGGTGGGCAGGTAGGGGGTCGGGTCAGGAGTCCAGGCACCACAACTGCCTGTGGACACTCTGCCAGAAGCATCCGAGCTCACCGCTCCTGGGAGGGTCTCCCTTCCTGGAGGCTCCTGGTCACACATGCCAGACAGGCGCCCAGCATGACGGCCGTGTGGGAGCTCGGGGTGAGGGGCACCGAGCCTCGCCTCCATCTGACCCAGGAGGCCTGGTCCTGCCCCCCCCACCCCTTCATGGCGAGCTCGCCGCACCCAGCATCTCCAGGACGGGGCTGAGGGGAGTGGGAGGGCCACCCGGTGAGGAGGTGAACGGGGCGAGATGCTCACTGTTCACCCCTCGGCTGCCCCGTGGGTGCCTGGCAGGCGAGCAGCCAACCTTGCAGGGCTGGAGGGAGGCCAACCTGGTCTCACCCAGGTGGCCCTTGGGGGTGGGACTGCCCGGCTTCAGGAAACGGGACGGGCGATGGGCACAGGCAGCCCCGTGGGCATCTCAACCCCCGTCCCGTCACCGTGCCAGGCTGGCCGTCTTGCCGGCGGGTCGCTGCTCTGGCTGCAGTTCCCTGCTCTTCCCAGCGCCCGGGTGAGCGCCTTTTCAGGCTGCGGCTTCAAAGACATGCAAACTGTCTTGTGTTACGTTGATGGAGGGGCCAGTGGGGCGCACCCCATGTGACCTCTTCCTCCCCTCCCCCCAGACGGAGTGTCCCCTGTGCCGGGAGAGGTTCCCTCCCCAGAAGCTGGTCTACCTGCGGCACTTCCGGTGACAGGATGGACGGACGGAGCCACCGGCAGCCGCCTGTCAGGAGACGTAATGGATTCTGACGAACTTGCACAGAAACCGTAAAATCCTCTGATTTTTTTATCACAGGAGATGCTGCGCCGGCAGCTCAGGAGGACGAGCTGGGCGGCTGGTCCAAGGCTCCCGGCCAGGTTCAGGCAGGGGCTCCGCTCAGTTCAGTTCCCACCGGCCCCGTGGCAACCCCCTCGCCCCGCAGTGCCAGGCGGTGGCTCTGCAGGGACTCGCTCCCCGAGGCCAGGTCCTAGGCCCTCCCTTCCCCAGACCACAGAGCTGAGGACACACCGGTCCCTTCTGTGATGAGAAGACCAGCCGACATCGGGTGGGCAAGAGGATGTGGCCTGAGTGGGCAAGTGCAGCCCGCCAGCCCCCCACCTACTAACCCTGCCCCCACCACAGCCGCTGCGGGGCGGCCAGGCACAGCCCCTCACGGGCACGGAGACCAGGGCACCCAGCAAGTGCCTCTCCTCACCTGAGGGTTCCCTGTTGACGGTTAGAGGAAGGGAAGGGAGACAGACACATGGACATGACACACGGACCAGTTGCCTCTCACCTGCGCCCCAACCTGGGCCCGAGATCAAACCTGCAACCGAAGTATGTGCCTCTGACCAGACTCGAACCCATGACCATCCAGTCTGTGGGCTGAAGCTCTAACTGCTGAGCCAAACCAGCCTTAATTCACATGTCGAGTCTGTTCCCATTTAGGACACTGGTCTGTCCTGGTCCCTACAGACTGAGATCCCCCCACCCGGGGCTCCTGCTGGGCAGCCAGCTTTTCCGAGTTTCCTAACCCTGAGGCCACAGACCCCCTCAGAGGCCGGCGCTGGGACAGCCGTCACCCATGTCCAGCTACTTCCTGCCACATACTGTATCTTCCAGGTTTTAAACCGTTTAACTTGTGCCAGAGACAGAACTTCGCCCTAAGTCCCCTTAAGAAGCGAATTCCACAGTAGGCCATAGGCTGGGGCCACCCGCCCGGGCCAGGCCCTCGGTCTCCGTGGCACCCCCGCGGCAGTGCAGACGGGCCTGGGCCGAGGCCGCTCCCTAGGGCGAGTTGTCCAGCAACAGACGCTGTTCTCCGCGGGAGTGAAGGTCACGGGCCACTGGCGGGGCCGGCCTGAGCAGCAGACCCCAGACGGGAGGCCCAGGGCAGGCCACCACCAGCCCCGAAATCCTTGACTTACACTCAGCCAAGCGCACAGCTTCCCGCCGCACCGGGCCTAAGCGCTTACAAGGGCGACGGTGTGAGAGGTGAGGCAGTCTGAACTGGCCTCCGCCGGGCAAGGGCGGCTCTGTGGGTCAGAGCCCCGTCCTGGCACCAAAGGGTTGTGGGTTTGATGGGGGGGAGGGGGCACATACAGGAGGCAGCTCACAGCTGTCCCTCTGACATCGATGTATTTCTCCCCCCTCCTCTCTCTAAAATCAAACGAATAAACACGTATCCTGGGGGGAAGTTTTAAAAAGCAGGAGCTCAAGCCCAGAAACGCGGTAACCCCCAATGTCAGAAACCCTACGGCAGCCGGGAAGCTGCTCGGCCGCAGTCTGCACCCGACGTGAGAACGGACGGCGCACAGCTCCGCGCCGCCCCAGCCCTGCCTCGCTCTGCCCACCCTGCGCCTGGGCAGAGGTCCCCGCGGGCGCCTCTGGATAAAGACTCCATGAGAAGGGCACACCGTCTTTAATAAAGTTTGAATTAAAAAGTCACTGAGTAAAGGGGTCACGAGTATGTTTCCATCACATCGGACGTCGGCATGCAGGTCCCAGCTGATCCTCGCAGGGAGCCGGCCGGACCCACAGAACCAGGAACATTCACATTCAGCAACTCTTCACGGATGAAAGAAATAGGTCAAAATAATCTCAAACAATTAAAATATATATTTATAATTCCAGGCCCCAAGAGCAATCACGTGGCTAGGACCAGAGCTTCCAGTCACGAGGCCGGTGGGACCACCTCCGCGAGGCGAGGCTGGGAAGCGGCTGGGACCCAGCATTCGTGCCACCTCGTGAACGCAGCTGCTCCACCGCAGGCTCCGCTGGGCCGGGCCACGGCCGCCTAGGGGGTCCTTCGCCCCCAGCCCCCTCGACTGGCCGCCCAGCCTGACTGACTCATTCTGTCCATTTAAACACCTGGTGTCACTGTAAATGAATCAATGCAATGCAGGTTCCGTGTCAGTTTCCTCGAGAACCTGTTATTTCAGTTACAAATAATTGAAGCTCCTTTTTAAAAAGAAAATCCAACTCCCTCGCCATCAACTACTTTATGTGAAGAAAGAGGCGCTGTTACAACGGCTCAGACGCGCCGAGGGCTCCGGGGGGCGGCCGGGCGGCCGTCTAACTCGCAAACGTCTTGCCCGCGTCCTCCTTCCCCTTGTACGTCCTCTTGCCGTGCGTGAACGGGATGTACCGGTACTTGATCATGTGCTGGGGACAGACAGACAGACACATCGGCGATAAGCTTCCATCCCAGGTGTCACCTGCTGCGGGGCCACCGGGGGCTGGGGAGCAGGGGGTGAGGGGTCGGGGAAAGGTCCCGAGAGCGGGCCGGCCGGGCTAGGAGGCGCCCCGACATCAGTGAGGTGGGCAGTGGGTCGGCCCAGGCCTGTTTTAGGGCAGTTGTGCATAACCCCTGCACCATCCGGCCAGTCCCGGCTCTGACCCACAGGACGCCATGCCCAGGAGGAGGGCACAACCCAGGGCCTTTCCTACCCAGCCCCGTTCCCAACACCGGCCATGGCCCAGAACCGCTGGCAGAGGGGAGCGAGCCCGCACCCCCCCACCACGTCTGCAGAGCTTCCTGCAGACGAGGCAGGTTCCACGTGGCGCCTGCCCTCCCTACGTGCCGTGGCCACTGCAGACGGCACCGCCTTTCCGGGCTTGGCGCCCCTGGGGGTACCTTGATCTGCCTCTTCATGGTGATGCAGAAGAGCATGATGAAGTACATGACCAGGATGGGCCAGAACACCGGAACGTTGAACGCCTCGAAGAAGGTGCAGACCATGGCCACCAGGATGCCCTTGGTGGCCGAGTGCCTGACGGGAGGAGGGAAGGTGAGCGCACGCACACGGGCTGCACGCAGCTGTGTCCTACGCCCCCCAGTCTGACTGCAGTGAGGGTGCTGACGCCGCTCCCCAGGGACCACGAGGGCCAGGCAGCTCCCAGGGCTCCACAGTGCAGCCCGGCCCACGGCCCCACTGAACCGCCTCCTGGGCTCCCCTTCCTACAGAGCAAAGGCCAGCTTCCTCGGGGCTCCCAGGCGCACCCCCAGCATAGCTCAGTCCCCGACACGCCCAGAATACAGAGCAAAGATGTGGTGGCTCACTCCCTTCAGGGTTTTGATCCAACAAATACAGGACAGAGAGGGCACAGAGCCCCCATGCCCCCGACAGTGGAGTTACCAGTCCTCCTGTCACCCTCCCATCACCGCCTCACGCAGATGTCACCGCCTCTAGGGCATCTGGGTACCAGCCAGCCTCGCACCAGAGCACAGCACTTCCCAGGGCGCAGCCGCCCCAGCACCGGTCCCAGGTGGCCCAGCCCCATGTGCGTAGGACACCCAAGCGGACAGGAGCTGGTCCAGCTGCCTCCACCAGAAGGGGTGCCGTGCGTGGAGCAGGACAGGGACTGTTATGCAGCCCACCCTTTGGGGGCAAGCCTGCAACGTTCCGGGAGGCTCTGCCCAAAAGCAACCTCTTTGCTCGTTTCAAAGAGCTTTGGCCTCAACCAGCAACTGGGAGAGGCCACTGGGCAGCAGTCCCCCAGGGCCCTGGGCCCAGCCACGCCCGTGGGCACGGAGCTCCTGCTGGGGTGACAAACGTTCCAGACAGAGGAGGACACCGCTCATTTCTCTGAAACGCCCAACGTGCTGGCTGACGTGAACCAATCGGTCTGTTCCCAGGCTCACCCACCAGCCGCGAGGACAGCAGCGCTAGGGGTTCACTCACCAAAACTTAAACTCCGGGAGCCTCCGGATGAACGGCCGGAACTCCTCGTTCTGTTTGGTTGGCAACGAGGGGCCGTCATCTGAAAGGCAGAAGGTCGGTCAGGAAAGCGCAGCCGCCTCCTTTACTTCCACGACCCATTTCCGTGCCCCCGACGCTCGGGAAGGAGACGGCCTAACGCGAAGCAGCTTCGTGTCATTCCGGCAAGGCAAGGCGGGCCCCCAGCCAAGTCAGAATCAACTCGTTATTTCAGAAAGGTCAAGTGAGAGTTCCTTTTAAAGAAGAACTTGCACATATTTTACAATTCCTTAAAAATTCAACTACACGTGAGTTAAAGTGAGGAACACACCACCCACACCACACAAAGGAGCACGAGGGAGACGGGGCATTCGCACGGGGGCTGAGCCCGCCCAACCTCACCGGTGCCACCCCACCTGAGACAGCTGCCTGCTGCTGCTAGAGGAGCTGTGGCCACAGACATGGCCTCAGGTTCTCCCCACCTCCCCCCAAGGGCCACATCTCGTGGGGTGTGGGCTCCTTTCACGTTTCCACCCAAAAGCCTGTAAGGAGTCGGGGCTCCGGGTCAGCACTGCACAGCCCAGGACACACCGGCGCTTCCTCCCCAGCGAGGGCGTCCTCAGGCGCTGGGACAGGGCTCGCCCTCCCTGCTGCCCACCAGCGGCACTTGCCCTCCCTGCCCAGGAACGGCCCTACCTGCCCACCTGCCAGGAACGGCCGGGGCAGTGGGGCCAAGACCTTCCAGCCCAGGGCCTGGGAACCAGAGCTCCACCCTCCATGGAGCTGGCCGGCGCTCTGGCCTGGTGGCCATCACCAGCCCCGTTGCCATGGGAAGCTCTGGCTACGTGAGTGTGGAGGCGCCTGCAAGCCGGGCGGGTGGTCTCGGAAGGAGCAGACCCTGCACCCCCTCCGCATGCGGCCCCGACACGCTACACAGCCCGGTGCCTCGGTTTCGCCTGCACGTCGGGAGGCAGAGGGAACACCCGCCGCACACGGCTGTCCGTCCGGGGCTTCATGGTCATTCCACGAGCACCTGAACGCCGTGCTCCAGGCCCACAGGGGGCGTTTCCGGAGGACAGAGCGGCCCTGAGCAGCACGCGGGGGCGCCTACCTGAGTCCTCCATCAAGGACGGGTCCACCTTGGGAGACAGGAAAGCGATGAAGAGGTTCAGGTGGTAGATCCCCAAGGCGTAGGTCACGATGTACCAGCCCTGGGGGAGAGGAGCAGGTCAGGCGCCCAGCCGCACCCTGACCGCGCCGGGGTGCCCGGCAGACGCCAGACCGCGGGCCAAACTGAGAGCGGACACGTTCCTCGCGGCAGGGGGGTCACAACGAGGGACAACAAAGTGGCGACTGTCCACGGGGTCAGTTTTCTGCTCTCTGTGTCTTCACAGTGGACAAGCCAGAGGGCCCGTCAGAGGCACACACCCCTGAAGCCACCAGCTCCTGGGAGCGCAGAGGGAGGTTCCTCAAGGCTGTGCCGGGGCCGCGTCCATGTTTGCGGCCCCTCCGCTGCCGGCACGGGCCGGCTGACAGCCCCGCTGCACCTCACATCTGTGCTCACACTGAGGAGTGCCTTCCTCTCTCCCAGCAGGAAATCAAGAAAGCGGGTAAGAATGTTCTAGAGCCCGATGTCCTCGGGAACGAGGCGGGGGAAACCCTGCAGGACGTGCACACACTTACCTGCACCTGAGCTCACTTTCGAAAGCCTGGCCACCCTCCAGGTCAGAGCGGGCCCAGGCGTGGGTGCCAGTGACCGCGCAGCTCCGCGCAGGTGTGACTGGAACAGTCACGTGACCCCGCCCAGCTTCTCTCATTCTTCCCATTACAGAACGGACCGAGTTCCCACTAAAGCCAATGGCAGTGAATCCACCGGAATCGCAGGTGTCCCGTCCCGCAGACCCCGTCCTGCTGCACTGGCCCAGGAGCCCCGGGGGGCGGACTGGCGGGGACACGTCCAGGAACAACACCCAGGGCGAGTTTCCACTCTGCGCCTGTGGGACCATCCGCAGCCTGGACACATCGGCGCCCAGCAAACGCCGTGTCCCCCGAGGAGCACGGCCTCCTGTCCCAGGCCGCGCCTGGGAGGAGCCCGCATGGCCAGGAAACACCTTCCTGCTCCAGAGAAAACACCGGACGAGGCCTGAGCCTGGAAGCTCG